CATGGATCCCCACACTGTACATGTGTGTACCTGTCCCCATCATGGTTTCCACACTGCACATGTATGCAGCTATCCTCATCATGGGTCCTCATACTGTACATGTGCGTACTGTACCTGTCCTCATCAACACCAAAGAGGATGAGAATGAACTCAGACCACTGGGAGGTACGAGGCCTGACTTCCACCAGCACAGACCATAACCAAGAAGCAGGGACATGCCTATCAGGTCATCTGTCTATGAAGGCAAAAATGTAAGCATTATCTCTAGAATTTACTTAAGATGCTTATGTCAGACAAAACAAACAAAATGCCAGAACAGAAACTGAAATTAGTTGTCATAGAGAGAGACAGGAAAATCTCAACCCATGTGGGAAAAGACAGCAACCAGATGGATATTACCATAAAGAAGCACAGGTATGGGAGGCACGAGACAAAACTGGAGCACATCGCTCACACTCTAACAGGTGATCACAGACACACCGGAAACAAACGGAAAACCAAAGTCTAAGGAAAAGAAACAGGAGACAGAAAAAAAAAAGAAAATTTCAGAAATAAAAATTATAATAGCACATTAAAGCAAAGCAGTTGGTGTGTGAGCAAAGCAGATTACTGGTGACAAAAGAAAGAACTAGCAGTTTGGAGACAGATTAATAGGAAGTATGCCCTCTGGACAACAAGGAGCCAAATGACTGAGCCTCTGGATCATGTGACAGAGGCTAGAAACTCAACGTTCTTGTCACCCAAATCTCATAAGGAAAGAGGGCAGCACTGAAGACATTTGGAAAAATGATAGCTGAAAATGTAGGAAGTATGGTAACAATCAAAACTTAGATTCAGGAAACACTAAAGAGGATTTAAAAGTCTACCTGCAGATGCCCAGAACCAAGCTCTAAAGGCTGAGAACTAAACACAGAATGTTCTTAAAAGCAGCTGGAGGGAAGAGATGCAGGATCTACAGGGGAACAAATCAAGTGACTGGCTTCCCCTTTGGAAACCAGAGAAGCTGGAAGTGGCACATTTAAAGTGCTCAGAGGAAAAAGGACTGTCATCCCAAATACCACAGGCCATAAAAACGCCTTTAGCAATGAGGGTGAAACACAGACATCCTTGGCTGAGCGAAAACTGAGAGCATGTGTCATCTGCAGCCCTGTTTTTAACGTTAACAGCATCTCTGAGACTGCAGGGAGCTCGGCGGTTACAAGCACGTACTTCTCTAATACAGAACCCGAGACTGGTTCCCAACACCCACGACAGGCAGCTCGCAGACACCTGCAACTCTAACTCTAGATGTCATTACTTCATTCTGGCATCCATGGGCATCTGTATAAATACACATACACAGAGACAGACAAACAGACAGACAGACAGACTGACTGACTGACTGACTGATACACACATACACTTTAAAATAAAATTTCTAAAAAAGCATCACAGGAAGAAGTTCTTCAGATAGAAGGAGAATGATACCAGAGGAGCCTGAGAACAGAGGAATGAGGGAAGAGTTGCTGAAGCCATGCCTCTCTGAGTAAACAATGTATCTTTTTCTCTGCAACCCTTTAGAGTAGATCATTTCAAACACAAATCAAACACTGTCTTCTGGGAGTGTCAATGACTGAAGAGTGGCAGTTATTTGTAACAGGAAGAGACCCACAGAAGCAGGTTCCTGTATTCCAACTGGTGTGAGGTAACACCGATTCAAGTCAAGAAAGACCCACTGCCTCTAGTCTGACCTGTCAGTCACTGGAAAGCTCTGGCTCAAATCCTCACTGTTTGGGAGACAGTGTGTTCCCTGGTGATTATAACCTAGGTCCACTGAACAACAATGTTTCAAAATGGAGACGTATACTTAACATATATGCATGAGACCACAAGCGTGCCTGGTGCCTTTGGAGTTTAGAAGAGTATGTCACATCCCTTGAGACTGGAGTTAGGAATGGCTGTGAGATACTGTGTGGATGCTGGGAACCGAACCTTGGTCCTCTGCAAGAGCAGCAAACTCTTAACTGCTGAACTATCTTTCCAGTTTTCATAGAATATAATGAACAAAACAAAGTTTATAAGCATTTAAATAAGGGAAGCAAGCAAGGGTAAAAATATGAGTGTTGAGACAGTCAATCAGATGAGGTGTAAAGGAGCTATGTAGCCCTGGAGAAGCTAATGTACCTATCTAACTAAGGCTCCTCATCTGTTCAGTGGGAACAACTCACCTTCACTCACAGAGGGACCGTCCAGGCAATTAGATACAATGCAATGGACTTACTGACTTACTGTGGCCCTCCACTAACAGTAGCTGAGAATTAACATTCACACCAATATGTACTAAAGATGATACAAGTGACAGCAGAGGGTGCCCAAGCATCTGGCTGCACAAAGCACAGAAAGGAGTCAGGACAGGCAGGAGAGCACAGAGATCGTGATGTCCCCAGGACTTACTGCAGTTCTCCTCGTCACTGCCATCCGGACAGTCCTCAAATCCATTGCAGCGGAAGCGGCCGATGATGCAGTGGATGCCGCTGGCACAGGGGAAGAAGGTCGGGCCACATTTCGATTTTGCTTTGGCTACAGGAGAAAAAAAAACAAAGAGGGCCATCAGGGGATGAAGTTCTCAGGCCACAGCCTCCTCACCCCACTCACCCTGAACGTATGAGTGAGACCTTGCAGACTTAGCATGCAAGTTCCCAAGGAACCTTTAACACCATCACTCGACAAATGCCCAGCCAGCATGGACACCTATTTACAGCATTCTCTAGGAAGGGAGCTGCCAATCATGCTGTTTCAAAAGTCCTTAAAGAGACCTTGGAGATGGTTCCATCAGTAAAATGCATGCCACACAAGCAAGGGGACCTGTGTTTGATTCCCCAGAAACTATGCAAAAAAAACGAAGTGTAGAGGCAAACACCTGCAATGCCAGCACTGAAGAATAGATGACTGAGTCCCTGGGGCTCAGTAACCAGCCAGACTAGCCTACTTGCTGAGACCCAGATCCCAGTAAAAGACCCTGTCTTGAAAACAAGATAGAAGGCTCCTGAAGAACAACTGAGTTTGACCTCTGACCTCCACACTCTAGTACGCATAGCATACATGATAAGCACACAGACATAAATACCACATCACATGTATGCACAAAGTCCTAGAGGAGGCTAGGCACGACATCATACTGTAGCAAGTCCAAAAGAGGGGACTGGTGAGCAGATGGATGGTACCTACGGAGCTGGATGGTGGATACCGTGCTTGCTTCTTTAGAAGCTGAAGAGCCAGTCAAATGCATCCACGACATATCAAAGCAACTGTTGTTGGCATTTAGTGAGTCCTTGCCACACTAGGCAGGTTGCCAAGTACTTTGCACAGATTTTCTCATTTAATTTACCCAGCAGACACTCAATGGGATAGCCTGCAGGAAAGCTAAGGTGACACTCTCAAGACTGCACCTTTCAGAAGACCTGCTTGCAAGGTCATATCTGGCTTGGCTGGAGTTTGGGGCTGTGGTTTGTGGAACCACAGATGTAGGAGGGGACATCCTACATCTAAGAGATCTTATACCAATTCTTCAGTTTAGTTTGTGCTAACATCAGTGATCCTTGGGGTCTGGAGTCTAGGAATGTATGAGACAGATGGTCCTTGTGATCATTAATAGTGACTGTCAACTTAACACGATCTAGCATTGCCTAGAGACAGGCCTCTGGGCACGTCTGTGAAGGAGCATCTAGGTTAGGTGGGAAAATGCACCCTAATTACAGGACAAAAACAAGCAAGGAGGAGCTGTGCAGTGAAAATCATCTTTGCTTGCCAACCACAGACGCAATGAGATCAGCTATCTCAGGCTCTTGCCACCATGATTTCCCTCAAATGAAAGCGCACCTTCAACTGTGAGCCAAAACAAGCCCTTCCTTACTTAAGTTGCTTTCGTCAGGGTATTGTATCATAGTAACGGGGAAAGTAACTAAGACTAAGAAGGTGTGCAGATGATCAGCCCTGGACAATACCTGGGTGCTGAGTCTGAAATGAGCCTGCCTGGAGGGTAGCCCTTCACACATCCTGTTGAAATCCAGATGAATTGAATGCATCTGGTAAGAGTGCTCTAAGAGAGAACTCTGGGGAGCCAAGGCTTGGGCCTTCTCTCGGGACAGTACTGCCATCATCCCTTGCCTATACTGAATTTGCCCTGCATCCTTTTGATGCATGGTCCTGAAGATGACCTTATACAGCGCTCCAAGGCTCTTGGGAAATGATGACCCTGTGAGGGTCTTGCAGAGTCCTGATGGAATGGGGCATGGTGGCTACAACTTCTATCCCCATTTTCTGGATATGCTTTGAGGATAAAGTGATTCGCTCAAGTTTACACAGCTAGGAAATCTGGTACTGAGGGGAGGCCCAGGCATGTGAACTCCAGAAGCCATGACCTCAATCAACCTAACGGCATGCCTCTCTGCCAAAGGCTGTCACTTCCTCCAACAGAAGCCAGACTCCTACACTAAAGAAATTTATTTTGCACACCTGCTGTACAAACAGTTTGAACAGAAACAGTTGTAACTTGGCCTTGATTTACAGTCCTGCTAAGCCCAGTAGCCCTGGGGGCTGATGCTCTTTCTAGCTAATGATGCTGTCTGCTCTGGGTGTCGATTAGGAGACAGGAGATGAGATCTATGGCTAAGTGCAGGTAGCAGCCTCATTGAGCATCCCTCCAGACTCCTGTCTGTGAGGCTGGACCTACATCCCTCCAAGAAAGAAAAGGCTATTTCTTTGAAACAAATAGACAGTAAATTGCCTGCATGTTCCCACTGTCTGTATGATGCCAATTTAGGTGGCAGCTGACTCACAGTCAACAGGACATAAGGTCTAGAGTAAGTCCAGTTTTGAAACTCCACATAGTTTTCATTCAGCCAGAACTTTCTGTAATGGTGTTTGTGAGTTCTTCACAAAGCATAATCTCAAGAGAGTCCTGAGCTCAAACTCAGACTCCATTTTGATGACTTTAGACACATTTCTGAATATTGCTAAGCCTCAGTTTCTTCACCAGTACAACCTGCTTACCAGGAGTCTTGTAAGGTGAAGATGGTTGATTTAAAAGCTTGAGTAGAGACACTGACAATGCCTGCTTCTCTTATCACTGCGACAAAATGCCCAACAGAAGCTGTTGTGTGGCTGTTTCCTTTATAGGGAAGAGTGAGGCTCAGAAGAATCAGAAAACTAGTAAGTATTGGAGGCTCAAGAAGGTCACATGTTTACACAACTTATTAGGCCCCTCGTCAAGGTTATATAGCTAAGTAAACACTCGCTATGAGAGAGGCGACTCCAGGAGACTGCCTGCAGGTTATGCACGGAGGTCAACAGATGTGAACTGTCACCCTTGATGCAGTGGGCAAGGTTTTGATCACCCATATTAAGTAACCACAGTGAACTCATTGGTCACAAAGCTAGGTTTGGGTGAAATCATTTCTTTGTTCTGTCACTAGTGTCCTAACTGCGTAGCATGAACAGACATTTGCTAATTCCCTCTTAGGAGTAGTCACACAGCAGAGCCAGTGGCCAAACAGGGACCAGGAGAACCAAGGATGAAGTAGAGAGAAGCAGGAATGTGGTCCCTGTGATGGGTGATTCGATGCTCAACTGAGGCTGATCCATCTGGAATGACATCTGCTCAGTCACAAAACTAAGGCAGCAGGAAGGAAGTCTCCAGCCTCAGAGTAAACAGCTCTTCAGCTTGAAGAGTGGGTGCAAATCTGACCTGCATATTCAGAGTTGTCCTTATTTTTTTCCATTTTACTAGAAGCCTGTGTTACAGATGGATCAAAAGTCAGACATAGGTATCTGGGAGATGTGTAAAAACTATAGGGTACCATGAAATGGTATGGTGACACTAATCTGCATCCAGAGCAGATCTCACATATGTGAATACTGAAGCCCAAATAAGATACCACACCTGCCAAAGTTAGAGAGCTCTTATTAGGTGAATTTGGGTCTTGAGCCTGATTCAGCTGATTCCGAGTACAGCCTCTTTCAGTAATGCTGTGCTATGCCATAGGACCACATCTGGCTCAGATCTTCCCAGAGTTTCGATATAACAGAGAACAAAAGAACGAGAACCAGGAAACAGAAAGTCCTTCTTCTACATGTCAGACTGTTCCAGATCTGGGATAGACAGCTCTTCACTAGACCATAAGCCTATGACTCTCAATCTGCCCAGAAAGCACTCAGGGCTACCCATCTCTTAGAAGATGTTATAGACCCATCACCTACAGCTGACGGCCCAGGTCTCTCCAGGTGGCCACCAAACATAATAGCTGGACTAACAGCCCAGTGTGGTGACACATACCTATGATGGCAGCATTGAGAAGGCAGAGGCAGGAGGACAGCAAGTTTGAAGCCAGCCCATGTGACACAGTGAGACCCTGTCTCAGTCACCACTCAGTTGGGCCAGAATAGCCATGAACTCAGCCCAGCATACCTGCCCACCCACCCCGCCAAGTGGTGGCTACAACTCTAGCCCAAGCTATGGGGATTTAGGGTGCACCTCCTTTGCCTCTGTGCTTGCTGCCCACCAACTTCTTCTACCCCAGGATCCTGCTAGTACAAGACCAAGACAGGCCAAAGAACCAGAACCAGGAGCCATAAGTTCCTCTGCAATGCTCCCATCCTTCCTCATAAGCATCAGAATGCTGTATGACATTTCAATAGCAGAGAAGTGTATAAAGGAGAATGTAAACTTATCATCGATCACCGCCACGCAGGAAAGATGTAATGATTTGTATACACTTGGCCCAGGGAGTGGCATTACTAGAACATGTGGCCTTGTTGGAGTAGGTGTGTCACTGTGGGCATGGGCTTTAAGACCCTTATCCTAGCTGCCTGAAAGCCAGTATTCTGCTTAGCAGCCTTCAGAAGCAGATGTAGAACTCTCAGCTCCTCCTGCACCATGCCTGCCTGAATGCTGCCATGTTCCTACCTTGATGATAATGGACTGAAACTCTGAACTTGTAAGCCAGCCTCAATTAAATGTTGTCCTTATAACGACATGACCTTGGTCATGGTGTCTGTTCATAGATGTAAAACCCTAACTAAGACAAAAGAGTGATCTGGGTATTTAGCAAACATGATTCCCTATCAGCTACCCTTCTCGTTGCTGTGGCAAAACATCTGGCGAAAGCAACTTGAGGGAGGAAGGACTCATACTGGCTCACAGTTTTAGGAGACTTTCAGTCCATCAGGAAGGGAAGGTCTGGTAGCAGGTATGTTTCACATTGCCGAGATTATGACGTGGCATCACGACAACCAACCAGGAAGTAAAAGCAGGGCCAGGCTAGAAACCCCAATCTGTGCCAGACAGGTCCCATAGTGCCCCCAAATATTACTGCTAGCTGAGGACCAGGCGTTCAAACACACAAGCCCACAGAGGACATGGCACACTCAAACCATAATAGCAGCAGGAACAATCATGTGTAAGTGGGTCAGTGGGTCAAATCCCGATAATGCAACAAGCCTGGAGTGAAGGCTGGTATTCCACATTGCTTCTGAGTTCCTAGGAAATGCTGCAACAGCAACCACAGCATTGTGAGTCATGG